GATGTCTTAGGGCCAGCCCTGTGGCACGCTCGGGAGAGTGCAGCGCTTGGGAGCGCAGCCACGCTCCCACCGCAGGTTCAGATCCTATATGGGAATGGCCGGTGCGCTCACTGGCTGGGCACGGTGCGAGCAACACCACACCAAGGGTTGCAATCCCCTTACCGGTCACGAAAAAGATTTAAAAAATAAATAAATAAATAAAATGATGTCTTAGAATATTTGTTATATAAGTAAAGAGAGTATGCTTTGGCTGAATAGTGCTGTTCATTTTAGCAAGAATTTTCTTGAAATTGTGAATCTGTTTTTGTATCAGCATTATATTTTATTCTTTGATAAAACAACAATTTAATTCTCTTAGTCACTACTGAATTATTAATGTCTAAATGAGCCCTAATAGTCAGAAATAACCAGATTAGTTTATATAAGCTAGCCTTTTTTTTTTTTTTTTTAACAAGTTATACTGTACCTAAAGACTTTCTTCTTTTTTCTTTTTCGGCCAGTTGTGCAAAAAAGAAAAAGAAAAGAAGAAAACTGTATGAGGATTGAACCCTTGACTTTGGTGTTGTAATACAGTGCTCTAACCAACTGACTGAGCTAATTGGCCAGCCTCTTAAAAACTTAATACCAAAGTATTAAGTTTTGCTTTCCTTGGGTAGTTCCCTATTTTTGTGTTTGTTTTTTTGTTTTTGTCTTTTTGTTTTGGCAGTGGGCCAGTATGGGGATTGGAACCCTTGATTTTGGTGTTACCAGCACCACACTCTAACCAAGTGAGCTAACTGGCCAGCCCATCTCTGTTATTTTAGTACTATAGATAATAAAGTATAGTTCGCAAAATACTAGAATTGGTAACATTTAGGTTTGCTATTAAAGAGGTTAGTGGAATAGGAAGTATTGCTGACTCATCAGATATACTCTGGTTGTATTATGAATGCAGGGAAATGTCCTTTTATTAGACCTCAAATCCTCCTTTCTCAGAGCAACCCATCTAATTCCTACTCTAGACCTTTTTTTTTTAAACAATACACTTCATTCTTTTTTTTAACCTTTTTTATTGCTGAAATATAGTTAATTGTGCAACTGTATTTGTACAACTATATTTGTGGGGTACAGAGTTGAATATCACCAACTCTAGTTCTTAATCTTAGTGTTATGTTCTTTAATGGTCTTACAGAAAACAGAGAAAACTGTTACCAAAAAGACCTTTTCAGAAGTTAAAAGCTTCCTGAGGGGAAATTCTAAACATGTGGAGAAGACAGCTTAATATTAAGGGAGTGGGGGAATATGTTAATCATTGAATCATTCTTTTCTCTTCAGGAGTTAACAAAACATCATTTTGTTTAGAATTTGGCTTGGATTATTAACTGTTGACTCAAGCTCACTCTTACTAAGTCAGCCATTAAAAACCACTTCGTATAATGTATGCTATACGAAGTTATTACGAGCTCACTCTTACTAAGTCAGCCATTAAAAACCAAAAAAAAAAAAAAACATGTTCTATGAAGTTTTGTTTTGTTTTTCTATTCATGCAATGTTGAAGCTTCCTTAGAGAAGTTGGCAGAGAAATTTACTAGAAGATGCACTGGCATATATTAATATACTCAGAGATGGAGGGTTTTCTGATTGCTATTTTTATAATGATCACCTTTTCTTTTTGCCTTTGTATCATTTAAAGGTGTTTTATAGTTAAAACTCCGAAGTGTCTGAAGTAGATTAACTTGCAGTCCATGAATACTGTAACAGAATGCAAAGAAAAGCTGTTGGTGTGTACAGCTTTTTTGATAATTCTCTTCAATTTTGATTGAACACGTGTCCTAAAATTATCATTCTCCTGAAATTTTGTAACTGTTAAAATGCTTCAGTTTTCAGGATTGTCATTTTATCTTTGGGATTGTGGGTCTTCTGTGTGTTTTCTCAAGGTACACTGATTGGAGTAGTTAGAAAAGTGGAAATAATACTTCCAATTCTGTCAGTAACTTTAGGCAGATGTATTAGCCAGTTTTCTGTTGCTGATAACAGAATACCTGAAACTGGGTAACGTATAAAGAAAAATTTTCTTAAAATTTTGGATAAAATTTTCTTAAAATTTTGGATGCCTGGAAGTCTAAGGTCTGGGGAAACATCTGGTGAGGGCCTTCTTGGTGTGAACTGTCTGCAGTCCTGTGATAACATGCAGTGTCACATGGGGAGGGCTAAGCAAGGGTTTTTCCACATGCTTTCTTCCTCTCCTTATAAAGCCCTCAGTCTGCTTTCTGATAACCTATTAAACCATTAATCCATGAATGGGTTAATCCATTCATGAGAGCATAGTCCTCACCATCCAATAACCTCTTAAAGGCCCCACCTTTCAAATACCGTTGTTAGTAGTCAGTTTTTCCCACCTTCTTAAGTTAACAATGGGAATTAAGCTCCAACATGAGCTTAGGGAGACATTCAGACTATAGCAGGATATCACTAAATGTCTCTGCTCCAGTTTTTATCTGCCAAGTGGGGAAGACAAAATCTATTCCTTCCACTTGGGAAACTCTGGGAGAAGAAAGTGAGGTTAGTGGAAAATTCTTTTAAAAGTTGAAACTATCATTTTTCATTTGTACGTTGTTATAGCCTTGATCAGTTTTATTTTTCCTTTTGTGTTTTATTCATTGCTGTTTTAAGTTTATAAACATTAGTCCACACAGCATTAAGAAGTAGTATATAATGTTTACAGATTTGTTTTTGCTGTTGACCTTATTTCTCAAGAAACCCAAAAAAAAATCACAGTAGTTCCATATATACATGAAAGTACTTCAAAAAGTTCATGGAAAGATTCGTATTATCTTTTAATTTCATTTTTCCATGAACTTTTTGAAGTACCATCATATATGTCCTCGATCTCCTGAAAGCACCCATTGCCACAAAGCATGTAGAGTACTGTGGAAAAAAAAAAAGACAACTGCTTTAGGGTGGCTACTTTTCTTTTCCTTAGGGGCCATTCTGCCTTATTTATTTATTTATTGGGGGGAGGGGCAGTTGGCTAGTATGGGGATCCGTACCCTTGACCATGCTCTCCTAAGTGAGCTAACATTTCCCTCAAAATAACTTATTCCAAGTTAATGAACTTTGGGTTTTACTTTGTAAATAGAGACAGTATTGAATTTCTTTTTCTAAATGCTTACCTTTTGAATGTCAGTTGAGAAAACAGGCAAAATTTGAGATTTATAAATGTTGGCCAGTGGTAAAACATGTCCCACTTTCTTATATAAAAGACACATTTGAAAGTATAAAATGATAGCCTAAGTTTATAGTAATAGGAGAATGATTAAATAAATTATAGGTACATCCATTCAGTGGGAAAATATGTAAACATTCATTGATAATTATTGGTAGTCACGTAAATACCAACCAAGTAGCAATATAAAAAATGCTTAAGAGTGAGAAAAGCAGGATAAAAAAATACTTTACTGGAACTATTCTGTTTTTTTGTTTTTTTGGTTTTTTTGCAGTACTCTACATGCTTTGTGGCAATGGGTGCTTTCAGGAGATCAAGGACTTATATGACGGTACTTCAAAAAGTTCATGGAAAAATGAAATTAAAAGGTAATACAAATCTTTCCATGAACTTTTTGAAGTATTTTGTATATACGTGGGACTAATGTGACTTTTTTTTTTATCAATATCTAATAATGCTAATGCCACCTCTAGTTTCATGCAGTAAACTTTTCAGGGAATGAGTTTCTTATATCCGATAAACTTTATGGTGCAGTGCTCTCTAATTCACATTAATGTTCCATAAATGTTTAGGTTTTTGTCTAAGTGAAACTTTGATTTCTCCTCTCAAAAGGTACAGATACTTTTTTGAGAACTATAGCTAATTCATTTAGAAGAAATTCATTGTTTCTACTTCATGCCAGGCACCAAGACAGTTGCTGCTCTCAAGGGTAGTCTTTGGGAATAGTTGGTTCACTTCTATTAACATATCCATCATGCCTTTCCTCCCCAGCGAGGGGGTAGTACCTAATTCCGATAGTCTTTGGGAATGTTTCACTTCTATCAACATATCAGTCATGCCGTTCCTCCCCAGAGAGGATGGTACCTAAATCCTTGGACAAAACGCTAATCATCACTTAATGTGTCAGTCCAGAAAAACTATTCCTTTTAGCAACTTCCTCTGTTTCCCAAAAGTCATGACAAATGAAACTTATTTTCCTTAATGACTTTTCTTAGTTTATATAAATAAATGCATATGTATTGTGGTGATATTATAGATGATATTTATATATCTTATAGGTAATGTTTATTTTGAAAATGGGTCATATTTTTGATCAAACCATTCATTCAGCAAAGATTTATTGAATATATGCTGGGCACTGAACTGGTCACTGGGGCTTCAAAGATGATATAGTCTCTGCTCTCGTAGAGTTGCAATCTATAGAAGATAGGAGAAAGAAAAATGTGGATTCACAGTTCACCTGAGTCTTTACATAGTACATATCCAGTGGATGTTCTGTTGATTATTTTTAAATGCCACTATTAATTAAGAACAATCAATAAAGCATCATTTCCTTTCAAGCAAACTGGCTTCTAAATCTGTTTAAGTTTCCTCTTCTCCCTTACTACCTCACAGTCTTCATTTTGTTTTTGTTTTGTTTCGCTTTGCTTTGTTTTTGGTGGCTGGCGAGTTCAGGGATCCGAACCCTTGACCTTGGTGTTATAACACCGCACTCTAACCAACTGAAATAACCAGCCAGCCCCCATAGTCCTCATTTTGAATACAAGTTTTGGTGTACCAGAGTAATCGAATTTAAGGTTTAACGTTTCATTGAAAAACATTACTTTGGTCAAAAGGCAGATTTCCAACAAATTTCTTCCCGTTATTCTATCTAGTATATGTCCATGTTTTGAAATTAAGTCTATATACCAAATATGAGTCATGGTGAGGTGTTTTGTTTCTTTTTTCCCCTTGCCCAACAATGTTTTAGAACCAACAATGTTTCAGTCTAAATTATTTCTTTCCTTTTTTTCAGCGGGTCCATATGGAATATTTGCTGGTAGGGATGCCTCCAGAGGACTGGCAACATTTTGCCTAGATAAAGATGCACTTAGGGATGAATATGATGATCTCTCAGATTTGAATGCAGTACAAATGGAGAGTGTTCGAGAATGGGAAATGCAGTTTAAAGGTACCTTCATTTTGTTGAGTTCTTTGGAAAACTAAATAATGTTCAAAGAAAGTATATACTATTTCACACGCTTTAAGGCTTGTTCATGAAGGTATAGTTTTTAAAAATACAAGCTTGTATTTAAAACTGAATTGATTACTTATATTGATACTATAATTATATTCTGAAATTGTTTATTGGTCTTACCCTCGAGGCATCAAGAAAAAATATTGTTCTTTATAATACCCTAATAAGATCAGTGTTTACTGTCTTTGTGACACTGTGTCAGCTATTTATCTGACCCCTGGATCCCTTGGAACAGCTGTTCTGGCTTCTTGACACTTGTACTAGTTCTATTGTATGAAGCAGTCCTCTTATCTAATCTTCTTGACAGTTAATTCACTTATCCTAGGTTTATTCACTTAACCTAGGTTTCAGTTCCTGATCAAGAAACAGCTAAACATGTATTACCTTCTGTATACAGTGTTCTAAATTAAATTAAACCTGGTAACTTAAAAACAAGCAAAATAACAACTCTAAGAAGAGAGTTTAATAGGGGAAAGAATAATGTGTGACAGGGACCACACACTGAGACCTCAAAGAACACAGGGTGACAAGTAACAAATACATTTTTATCTCCACTTTTATTTTCTTGAGGACTGCTAACATATGTCACATTTTCTTCCCAAGAATATTTCCCATTTTGATCTACTTACCATGTGATTTAAATAACTGTTGGAAGTTACCTATGTTGCCAACTCATTTCTCTAATTACAATATTTTGGGCTATTAAGAGTTAAAGAGCTTTTCTGAGACTCACAGTGCATGTTAGAGTTAGAACAGCTTCAAAGTACATGTCCTTAGACCTAACATAAGAGCTTGGGCTGGATAACTCTGAGATGGGTCTTGGATATGTTTTTGTTTTGTTTTTTAAATATCTCCAAGCAATTCTGATGCAATATTTGGTTAAGAACCACACTGGAACAGGACACTGTCCAGCAAAGAATAATTCCAAGCCTTGATCCTGTTTTCAAGCTGTACATAGATATAAAGACCAGCCATGGTGAAGCAGTAGGAAGAACTTAGTTTATTCTGTGTGATTCTGAAAGAGGCAAACACTTTCCCTCTGTATAATGGAATGGTGAAACAAATTTGATCACTACTGATTTTCTTTTGATGTATCTTTCTTTAAAGAAAAATATGATTATGTAGGCAGACTCCTAAAACCAGGGGAAGAACCGTCAGAATACACAGATGAAGAAGATACCAAGGATCACAATAAACAGGATTGAACTTTGTAAACAACCAAAGTCAGGGGCCTTCAGAACTGCAATTCTTACTCCCTTTCACAGAATGTCCAGCGTCTTTGGGTTTGGTTCACCTGCTGCAAAAAACATTCAACAGATTGTGTACAAGATAAATGAGTCTCACGGAAGATTTGAATACTAGATGTTATTTATGCTGCCAAACTCATTTGTTTCAGTTGTTTGTAATGTCTGTTGGGGCTTCATCATCCTGAAATGAAGGAGACAGGGATTTTTTTAAAGAGCAAGAAAGTCACAAGGTTACTTTTCTCTTTTCTTTCTTTTTCTTTTTTAAAAAATATATCAAAGACAACCAGATATGTATTTGCTACTCAAGTGTACAAATCTAAAAAACAGCAAGTGACTCCTACTTCATATGCTGTGTTTTTATTTTAGCATTGAGGAGAGAGGAGACCAGAGCAGGGGAGGGTAGGGGTTGCACATCACTTTGAGTAGTTTAGTCTACTGAAACATTAAAATGTGAATTCCCAAACTTTTCTTTTCAGGCTTTGTCAGGGAAAATTTTTTAAAAAAAAAACATATTTCTAAGAAATCTCTGGACATTAGGAGAAGAGATTTCAAGTGGACT